TTTTAATAAGATCAACCAAATCCCCGAACTTAGTAAAAACGTTCAATTCAATCCATTTGCATTCCACATGTGCGCCACATCATTAGCAAATGGCTGACTAATATTTCACATGTGTGCCACGTCAGCAAAATTATTGCTGATCGAATTGCCACAAGTGCGCCATGTCAGCTGGTGACCTGCTGACATGACAGGTAACCTGAAATTGTACTCAATTGAATGTTTTTACAAAGTTTGTGGATTTGATAGTTTTTTTTAAGTACGAAGACCTAATTGATTTTTCATGAAAGTACGAGAACCAAATTGACAGTTTTCCCTTGTTATATTCATCTACTCTCTCTGTCCCGCTAAGATTTTCTCATTTTACCTTTTCGGAAAATCTTACTAAGATGGTCACATACAAAATTTGACAAAGTTTGTGTAGCTCTAAATCATTCTGACTTTATTCTTACTTTATCAATTTAATATCAACCACACAAACCCATCGATCCATCGATCCATTGATCCATCTATCCATCGATCCATCTATCCATCCATCCATCCATCCATCCATCCATCCATCCATCCAACCATCCATCCATCCATCCATCCATCCATCCATCCATCCATCTAGGGGTGGGCATAACGGTTTGGTTTAACTGAACCGTACCAAACCGAACTAAACCGAACCGAAACCGAACCATATGCAATTTGGTTTGAGTTTGGTACTATTTCTTCCAAACCGTATTAAACCGAACCGAACCAAACCGAAACCGATAAAAACCGAACAAAACCGAACCGAACTAAAGAAACTCAAAAAAAACTTTCATATATTATTAAAATTGGTGGTTTGATTTTGTTTGGTTTGGGTTTACTTAAGTAAACCATTTAGTAAACATTTGCTCAAACCGAATGGTTTGGTACTTTGGTTTGGTTTGGTTTGGTTTAAAACGGAAAAACTGTAAACCGAACACCGAACATCATATATATATATATATTGATAGAGTATATGGGCCTGGGCCCCATGGCCCACATACTCATTGGCCCAAAAGACACCAGCAGGATACCCGCATCAGCCAAAAGCACGCGACGTCCAAGAAAGAAGATATCACCCGGATTCTTCGGGAGAAGTCCAGGATCCGCATCGTCCATGGACCGCATCGTCCGGACTTCGTCCAGGCAGAATGTATTTTTCATTCCATTTACTAAGTATTGTACACAGCCCATTAGTGACCTTATTTCGCCCAAAGAAGGCATGATTATTGTAATGGGCCTCCTAAGCCCAAGGCTAGGGGCCCAAATCCACATTTTTACCTATAAATAGACCCCCAAGGGGCTAATTATAGGGGGTTCCAAGTTGAGAAATATAATTACTCACTTTCTCTCTCTAGCTCTCACTTCTCTCTAGAATTGATACTCTATCATATATATATATATATATATATATAATATTTTAACTTTTATTAGACATGAAAATTATTTACATATAAATAAATAATTTAGACATGAAAATACATATTTAAGCATATCCTCGTATCGTTTTAACTTTTACACATTTCATTAATTCATTATTACAAAGTTAGCTAATACGACACATTTGTATTTATTATGTTTTACGAATCATGTAAAATTGCATTTATATTTTTACATGATTCATTTGAATAAAATTATGAATATTACAACATTTGTACCACCAACTCTTTTAGTTTTTTTTTTTTTAATATTTTATGTGATATTATAAATGCTAATCAACTATCTTATTTTTTGTAAGAAGCTTAGTGAATTTTATGTAGCGATAAAAAAGATGTTAGAAGTATTAATTTATAATATTTTATTATTTATTTTTATATCTTTTATTTCCTTTTACATTTTATTTAAATAATCAATAAATTAAAAAAGATGAGATGGACTACTACTTTCAATTTCTAATTCTAAAATATAGAACACTATAAAATAAAATAATAATCATAAACAAACGATCAAATCAAACTAAATTAAATATAATATTTTTTACTTTGGTAAACCGAACTTCAAACCGAACCGAACCGAAACCGAACCGAAACCAAACCGAAAATCAAATGGTTTTAGTTTGGTACAAATTCTCTCAACCCGAATGAACCGAAACCGAACCGAAACCGAAGAAAACCGAACCGTAAACCGAATTGCCCACCCCTACATCCATCCATCCATCCATCCATCCATCCATCCATCTATCCATCTATCTATCCATCTATCCATCCATCTATCCATCCATCTATCTATCCATCTATCTATCCATCTATCTATCCATCTATCCATCTATCCATCTATCCATCTATCCATCTATCCATCTATCCATCTATCCATCTATCCATCTATCCATCTATCCATCTATCCATCTATCCATCTATCCATCTATCCATCTATCCATCTATCCATCTATCCATCTATCCATCTATCTATCTATCTATCTATCTATCTATCTATCTATCTATCTATCTATCTATCTATCTATCTATCTATCTATCTATCTATCTATCTATCTATCTATCTATCTATCTATCTATCTATCTATCTATCTATTTTACCATCTCATGCCAAACAAGTGTTTTACGTTAAAGATCAACTTGATAATAGAAAATCAGTTGTTTGTTCAGTTGGTCAAAGGGTGAGTAATAGTTTACATGATGGGTCAGAAGATATGGTTATACATGAACCTCTAACTCCAAAGTATCCAACACCGCTCATTAATGAGGAGAATCCAGATGATGAGGACATTTATAATAGAGTAATATGTGATGCACCTATGTGTAAGTGATTATATATTGCTTTAGTCCTATTTTAATATACTATTTGTGTCATGTTATATAACGTTTTTTAAACCCTAATTGAATTTCAATCATTGTTTTATCTTCAGGATCACATAACTAGTTATGTCTGCTGCTAAAGAAGATTTGAATGACTGGGAAACTGAGGAGGAAGAAGAGAAGAAACTTTTGCTTAAGAAGGTTAGTGATGACAAAGTGATTGTATAGGGAAATGAGTTTGGTGTTCTTTCAGGTGATGGCTAGACTGAGTTGGCCAACTATATATGAGTTGTAGTTAGAGATAATGTGTCGATACTATTTGATGATTGGAGACTAGTAAAAGATAAACAGAAAGAGAAGCTATGGAAGCATATTAAGGTAACAACTAACAGTTTGTAGATACTTATTTTATTTATGGTGCTGCTCTAATCATTTCATTATGTTTTTATGTTCCAGAAATTGTTTGTCTTGAGTCCTAAGGGTAAGAAGCAAGTTTTGAGTACAGTGGGAGTAGCTTTGAGGAATTTCAGGTCTACCTTAAGGAATGAATTCATCTTCATCCACAAGGACAATTTGAAGATGTTGTGTTTGCCTCCAAAAGAGTACGAGCACATAACCACCGATGAGTGAAAACAGTTTGTGCTGAAAAGTTTCAAAGCAGAATTTTTAGTAAGTCAAATAATGCATTCTGAAAAGTTCATAAAAATGTAGTCTCTATGTTCTGAAAACTATGAAAGCAGAAAATACTCTAACTGTTAGTAAATTTTGATGATGCTACTTAAATGATCATAGGCAAAGAGCAACAAGGGGAAAGAAAGAAGAAAGAAGAACAAGTATAACCACAGGTTGGGGTCATCCGGCTATAGTGGTGTATTGAAGAGGAAGGTATATTAGTTATTTTTCTGTTGTTAATTATAGTAGTAATAATATCACTGTAAGTGTTTTACTGAAGATGAAGATATATTAGTGTTATAACAAGTAAGTGTTATATTTCAATTTTCAAAATTGTTAGCTAAAGGAACTTGGAGCTAGCTTGAATGATCTTGATCGGGCTGATACATGGCTATTGGGTAGACAAAAGAAAGATGGTGGGTACAATGAGGAGGTGAAAGAAGTTGCTAAAAAGATAGTAAGTATAATTCAATTACCACATACTGTTTATTATCCTTAAACAGAACACACACATACTAGTCACCGTAGGTTGATTGCCATTGTTATTACTTTTTATTTGCCGGGCAGTAATAAACTTTTATTTAATTAATAATGGGCTGTATTTATTTTTTCACCATAGTTTCACACAAGTATTTGTGATTTCAGTTACCAGATAGAAATTTTTTTCAGCCATCCATTGTATTTGAAACTATTTGGCTCTTGTAGGGAAGGAGAGTACACATCAATACATAAAGTGTCTGTCGTTTGCATTCTTAGAAGATTTACTGATGAATTTGAAATATAGTAAACTCATGTATATCTCCTTGGATACAGTAATAGAAGTAGTATTCAGTATATTGATAAACTGAACATTCACATTCTGATTTTAACTCTTAAACTGAACACCCATACATTCTGATTTACTGATGATTTACTAATAAATTAATGATGTGAGCAGTATGATGTGTGGCAAGAGTGTTATATCTCCTTGGATACAGTAATAGAAGTAGTACTCAGTATATTGATAAACTGAACATACACATTCTGATTTTTACTCTTAAACTGAACATCCATACATTCTGATTTACTGATGATTTACTAGTAAATTAATGATGTGAGCGATATGATGTGTGACAGGAGTGTTATATCTCCTTGGATACATTAATAGAAGTAGTACTCAGTATATTGATAAATTGAACATACATATTCTGATTTTTTGCTCTTAAATTGAACATCCATACATTCTGATTTACCGAATATTTACTAATAAATTAATGATGTGAGCGATATGATGTGTGGCAAAAGTGTTATATCTCATTGGATACAGTAATAGAAGTAGTACACAATATATTGATAAACTGAACATACACATTCTGATTTTTTACTCTTAAACTGAACACCCATACATTCTGATTTACTGATGATTTACTAATAAATTAATGATGTGAGCTATATGATGTGTGGCATGAGTGTTATATCTCCTTGGATACAATAATAGAAGTAATACTCAGTATATTGATAAACTGAACATACACATTCTGATTTTTACTCTTAAACTGAACACCCATACTAAATTTTGTCATGCAGAAGGAGTTGAAGACTAAAGTGGAGGAAGGGTCATTTGTGCCATGTGGCTCAAATGACATTATGGCTGCAGCTTTGGATAAAAAGCCCAATGGAATTAGAATTCAAGGAGTGGGTCACTTCATTACTCCCACCATGTACTTTCACATGCCGATTGGTGGTGTTGAAGGGAAGGACCTAGAGAAGAAACTTTGTGATCGAAGGTATGATATGATGATAAAGTGTCTTGATGAACTGAAAGCTGAAGTGAGGCAGTATGCTTGTAGTGATATAGGCAGTTGTAGTGTTCAAGAAAAGTCTACGACATCTCCAAAACGAAAAAGAAAGGTTTGTACTCCCTACATTCGTGAAGCAATTAAGATAGTAAGCACACTTATATTTTTCTAATACATTGATGACGCAATTATTAACTTTTTGATAGGCTACTACAGTGGTCGAGAAGCACGTTACTCCCTTGAAAAAACAACACTTAGTTTCCAGAAAATCTCCAAGACGTGTCTCTAAAGAGACTGAATCTGAAACTCAAGTAGCCGAATATGAAGATCAACATCATGAGGTTAAACGAGTATCAAGAAAATAGAAGAATGGGAAAATAAAGGTACATTTGATTCAAAATTAATTATTTGAGGTTGAAGAATGATAACTTTTATACCTTATCATTTTAGGTTAAAGAAGTTGAAGTTGAAGATGTGAGAGACAATATAGATGACTAGGAAGCAGAAATAGGGAGATATATGGAAGAAGAGTGTGAAGAAAAACAACAGGTTGAGAGTCAAAGTTCCAAAAAATCGCCCCAGCATTTCACCGAAAATCATGATCCTACATTGGTTGAGAAACAAAGAGGATGTAAGGGAAGAATTGGAGGATCAAGGGGTTGTCATCATCAAGCAAAAAACTGGCCTGTAATGAAGAAAAAGGTTGCGCCTTCAAGAAAGCTAAATATGCAAAGAACGACGAGGTCTGTGATGGAAAAGAGAAAAGAACAAAGCGTTCAATTGAAGATGTTCTCTATTTTTATTGAGGGATGCTGACGTGCACTTTGTCGTGTGTGCACTCAAAATAATATTCAATACTAACACTATACGTAGTATAGGTGAAGTAGAGTTCGTATCCACAGGGAAAGGAATAACTATCTTTTTATGTAACTAGTAAATAAAGGGGGTTTTGATTTTGTGATTTAATTAAATTAAACACGAAGATGAACGAGTTATATGGGTTTTAATTCAAAGATAAAAGGGACTTGGCATTGCTATTTCCACTTGTTGATATATTTTAGTCGATCATTGTTATGTCTATAACTTATCTCCTCTCGAATACTCAATCGAGGAGTATATCCAATTCATCGAGGATAGCTATTAACAACGACCGTTCATTAATAACCCTTACTATTAGTCAAGTATAGAACAACGCCATATACCAACTTGATAGTAGCATTTAATCTCTTAACTCCTTGATGAAATCAATTGAGATTGATAACCTCAACACAACGGTTTCGGTTTAACCAACAAAATTAATCCCTCTTAAGTTTATTAACCACGACCGTGCATTAATAAACCGAAGTTACTTACTTGTGAAACTATCAACGATTAACCATCGGTTCGTTGATCGTTTCTAGTAATAATTAATATATGAAACAAAACTAGTTGATCCTTTAAGTAATGTTCAAAATATTAATATGAAATATGAATAGGAATTAATTAATACTCAAGGAAGAATATTAAAGAAAATGAATCCTACTAAAGTTAATATCAAGATGTTAACTAATTGTCATCTTAGTAACACTCCCCAATATTAACATAGAGGAAGGAATAGCTATTACTAAGACCAATGTCAAGATGTTAACTAATTGTCATCTTAGCAACACTCCCCAACACTGATATAGAAATAGTATTTAAAGGAAGAATTAATATTCAAGGAAAGAAGTTAAGAAAATAACTCACAACTTTAATAATCAACAAGCTTCAAGAGCAATACCAAAAAATGGAAGTTTAGCTCCTCATTTGGAGACTAAACATGCTAGAAGAAGTATAAAGAAATGCTATTCTAAACTGAGCTTAAGAGTATAAAGGAATTGGTATCTAATTGTGAAGGAAAGGGGGTGTATTTATAAGCTTTTTTGGGGTGCAGGTCGGGTACTCGATCGAGTATATACATGTACTTGATCGAGTATGTGTAGAAAGCTGAATTCGATCCATACTCGATCAAAATTAGAGTGAAATTTAGAGCTATACCCGATCGAGTATGTCGGTGTACCCGATCGGGTATAGACACTCGATCGTGGTCAAAATCTTCCCTGCATGTTCCTTTGTTTTCGGATCTGATTCGATTTGAAATTTCAACAAGATACCCGATCGAGTATAGGTGATACTCGACCGGGTATAGACCAAAAAATCAGGAACAATTCTTTGTCTTGTGATTTTGCACCTTCCTTCCACTTTTGGGGTTCAGCAACTGTCCTTTGAGTGATAGTAGACCTGCTTGAGCTCAGAATAGACCTAATCTAAATAATTTACAAGAATTTAACAAACTAAACTATTACACCAAAAGTGTGTAATTTCTGAAATATTAAACAACCAAAACTAACTAAAAACGTAAACAAACACACGGAAATTACAAGCGTATCAGATGCCTTGTTGATGGCTACCCAATCAATCACGATGAAGAAGTGTTTGGATTCCCAACAAAATCTTCCTTTAATAAGGATGTGTGCAGAATTGTTATAAACTGCGAGAGAGTTTCAAATTCCGTCATAGAAATTTGGTGCAAGTAAGCTAAGTCTTTCAAACATTGCGCTCTATATATCTGCCAATATATTATTCACGTGTACGCAATGTAATAATTTATTTAATGAATTTGTAGACACCTTCATGAAAACATGGTTGAACTGGGCCATGTACTGAGATGCATGTACAGTTTGGGACTTCTGCGGCCATAACATGCCCAAAGAGGCTATTGGATGAATCGGTGACAAGAAGGTCTCAATATATTTTAGATATTTTAGGTGCAGCCTTACCTGGACAGATCACCTTGATCCCGTATAATGCAGGGTATGATATTAATATAACATAAAATTGTCTTATTATATGTGATCCTGGAATTAGTTGAGAAAGGAAATCCCTTTTTAAAAATCTTTTCTTTGCTTATGTTTTTATATAGTTTATGGTTTGTCACAATACAACAAGTTTTCTTGGAATTTGGTGATAGTTTTTTAGATGCCTCCTGTTTTTTGTGAACTTTTTGAAATAACCAAAATCTTGATAGACAAAACTATCGTTTACATATACCATCACTGCTTTCTATAAGAAATAGTTACTCTGATCGTAGTGTAAGAAAGAATCCATATAAAAAACCCAAAGCTAAGAAGCAACATTTCTTTCATCAGACATGGACACTGCCTAACAAAGAACATAAATTAACAAACTAAAAATACCTATGAATGAAACTCTAAAACACATACAAAATGGATTTTGGTGGGGATCGAGTGATTTAATTGAAGTCTTCCTTCTCATATGAAAGTTCTAGAGATACTACTTAGATATGGTTGTCTGTAGTGGAAGTGCACTTTCGACCTCCTTCACTTCAACATTTCTTTCAGCAAAAACTTTGGACATTCCAAATTTGAATGTATATTCATTTATAATTCTTTTATGGTTGTATATTATGATCACAATTCAATGATTGTGATTATTTTCAATGCAACGACCATTGGGTGTTGGGTGCCATTGATCTTGAGATGAGTAGGATCTACTACTTGGATTCAATTGGAGATACTCCAGCTGCTGATTTTGAGCTTATTATGAATCAGTTACATATTCATTTTTCTCATATTCCTCTGTTTTTGGACACTTTTTATTAATCAATCTTATATACATATATGGAGGAGTCCTTGAGTCTGCCGTGATGAAATTTTATAACTCATTTTCAAGGGAGTAAAGATCTATCAGGCCGCAAAGTCAAATAAGAGACTAACATGGAGTTGGTTAACTGTAACTGTATCACTTGACCAGTAAAATTAATAACATCTCAACCTTTATATTTATTAAATCTTAAATTGAAATTTATATATGTAGTGCCCAAAGCAAAAAGGTTCAATTGAATGTGGCTACTTCGTGATGAAGTATATCAAGGATATCGTGGGCAATGTGAATGTGTTGAAGAACAATGTAAGACAATTTTAACGTAATTCTTATTTCAAATTGATAACTTTATTGTCAAATTGATAGTTTACTTTAGGTACAAGGTCATAGTGACAAGATGAGATGACAGTTGAGCTTGATTAAAATTTCAAGTCCTAAGATTTGAAAATGCTTTTGAGTTAAAATCTCATATGTACACAATCAGCAATTAAAATCTGTAGCTAAGATTTGAAAATGCATGAGTTTCTTGACATCAAGTCATATTTTGTATTACCTGAGAGTATAATTCTTTTAATGTTTGGTTTTAACTAAAAATGCATAAGTAAAAATGTGATAGGTTACTTTAATTTGAACGTAATTACTTTAATATTTAGTGTTAGGTTTTACTATCTAGTTAACGTAATTGTTAATTATTTGGTGTAGTTTTCTGCAATTATGGACTACTCTGAACATGACCTCCTTCAAATACGGGAGGAGTGGGCTTCGTATGCAGCAACTTTGGTGAAAGAGTGAGTTGAAATGTCTTTGTTCAAAATTGCCTATGTTGTGATGTGCGATGCTACGTTAATATCGGTCTTGTGCACTTGGTTGCTAATCAATTGTGTATTTTTTTTGTGATTAGTTGAATGAACTTTGGGGCTGCAATGCGTTCAAGGAAAGGCCAGCTGGTGAAAAAATGTGAAGAACTTTTGGGAAGACTTTATTTTGAATGTTGTGTTATGATGTAGTTGGGAAAACTAAGCCTAGTTGTGAACCATTGTTGTAATGCTTTTGTGATGATGTATTATTATGCTAGGAATGTTGTGAAACTTTAACAATGGTATACTCTGGTGTAGTTTGGATTAGCTAGCTTATTTTGACTTTAATAGCTAGCTTGATGATCACTGAATATATAAAATCTAGGTGCATGTTTGATATTAAAGAAATCTTGGAAGTAAGAATATTCAATATATATGGAAAGATTTCAGAAATGCAAAATGAAAAAAGTTAAGTAGATGATACTAAGATGTCATCATTTTGGTTGACAATAGTATGTCATTAACTACCATGACACAAACGTGTCATAATTTAGCATGACACAAAAGTGTCATACATTATCATGACACAAACATGTCATTACATTTAGACATACAAAATTATCAAAGTTTTATGTAATTTTTATGTATCATTAAATTTGGAGACACCATAGTATCATAGAAAAGTATGTTTATATATCATAAAATATGTTGTTACTCTTGTGACACAATTTGGTGACACTAAACCGTGACACTAAATTTAGTGTCACAACTCCCAGTTTTCGTTGACACTTTCCTAGTGTCAGAAAATCTTTCGCAGACACTAAGTTTGTGTCACTATAGAACCATTTTCTACTAATGATATGGACATGGTAGTCTAA